TGTCTAGGGTCCAAAGTGTAATTAGTTTTACCTATATAAGGTGTATCAGATTATTATTATTTTTCAATCAATACAAATCAATATCAAGTTTAATAATGTGTATGTTCGACAACGCCAACGACAAGTGTCTGAGACCCACGAGTGCCTACCGGTGCATGATGTTTCTGGTACGTCTCCTGTTCCACCACCTGATACACACTTATCATCGGCCAGTGATATTTCCCCCGACCCAGTCAATGATACACCCCTACCACTACTTACTATTGGATCCTGTATATTCATGACATTGTATATACCAAACTTACATCAAACCTGCCCTTAGATGGTCATACTTACATCTGTCTAACTCTTTCCTTGTCTTTACTATGATCTTCTCGGCTTTAACGGTTTCACTTGAGATGCGTGCTTTAATTTATTAGGTACATAAATCATTCAACTATACATCACTTGCATCATAAACACTGTCATAACATACTTCCGTTCATCTTTTCTAGTATCTAACGATTTTGCTAAATGGTTGTATATTCAAAGTTCAACTGTATATGCTTCATTAATCTTTGATCATCAAATTTCACATGAATTTCAATTTTATAAAATGGAAGTGTTGCAAGGTTTATATAAAATAAACCTCTCAGACTAATAGCAAATGGAGATTAACGCAAGTATACATTTCTCAATCCATTGTCATCTTTTACAAGTAATAAAACGGTAAAGATACTAAGTATCGATCCATAGGGAAAAAAGAGTGAAAGTCTTGATTTTAAGTACAGTAAGAGAGATGAGTCCAGATGGTGATTTTGAAGAAATGATTTTTGGTTTTTTTAAAAACTATTGAATTAAACAATCAATTAAAGGAAGCAAGGGTGTAGGGATCCGTTAAGTTTTCAAAGCAAATAAAGCAGATAGAACTTTGAGACCAACAACTCATTTTATCTAACCATCAGCTTTCGTAAGGTACTCTTCCGAGGTTGAGAAAGGCACGCATCCAAGGACTAACTCTAGTGTTTCCAAAATAAAGTGAAGTCCTGGCAATGACATGATCTATCCCTTGTATAAGTTGTACGGAATAAAAACAAGTCTTCTTGATTCTAAGTAACTCTCTCGATTATACCTCCATATCATCCAAGTTGATGTGTTCAAGATGGCTTATTTAAGTCCATCACACTTTAACATTTTAACAATGATCAACTTGTCAATAGATGTGATTTTTAACAATATAACCTTGAATGAATGGTTGGAAAGATTTGTTACCAAATAACAAACTCCTACCATCAAAATAGGCTTTTTATGTCTTAATTTCACCCCACATCCAAGCTAAGGTGGTTAGCTTATCATTCCTTGGGTTCCTTGCATTTTAAAGATGTAAAGGAACATTTATAATAACTATGAAATAAAAGTTACGAGAAATGGAAATCAACAAGGAAGTAACGTGAAATACGAGAAAGTAAAATGAATAATTTGCAATGACTAATAATTAAAACGTAAATGGAATTTTACGTTAAAAAATTTAAGCTACACGGGAGAAGTAAAGAAGCAAGGAGAAGTGACAAAAATAAAGCTTGACGTTAATGTAAAGACGTAAATAAAATTTGCAATTAATTTAGATGGCAAAGATTTACTTGAAGATTAAAGCATTAATAAAACCAAAGGGATGAAAGGTTTTTGGAAAAGTTTCATCTTTGCACTAAGAGGTAGGGAGAGATGAGATGGGAGGAAGCGTTTAGGATGAAATTTAAAGGATGGAAATGTAAGGGATGATCTAACTATTACAACAAAAGGCCCTATTTATAGTGTTTTTGGGGGAGACCACATGATGAGGATAAGTCCATCTAGCTTTTATCCAATGGTCCATGTGTCCCCATATTGCACATAGTTGGAAGGCTTCTTGAAAGCTCCATATCTTTACTTGTCTTCATCCAAAGTCAAAAGACATACATCCCTCCATGCTATAGCATCCCACATCATCTTCACAATAACCCTACAAATCACAAGACTAGCCATAATCCAACATCAAAAGGCAAGTGAATTGGTCATTAGTTAAATTAAGCTCTATAAAAGTAAAAATATAAAATTTACATAAAAAGTACTCAATTTAAAGACTTTTGATAATATAAAGTAACGAAAAATAAGCTAAAAGTGGTGTAATGCGTCAATTAAGTTGCCGCTTGTCAAGAAGATACACTCACATGGTAACGAGGCCCTTAAAGTCCTATGCTCTTCTTTCAACTTTGGCCATGGCATAATCACGTCTCACTCTATGTATCTATACTTGGAGGAGGAACCTGCATGGCATGTGGTGTTGGAGATTTTAGTGTCATCAAGCCATTTAGTATCGGGATTAATGTGAGACAAGCTGAAATTAGACTTAGGTATAATTCGAGCCCGGAGGTGCGGAGTGCACGTTGGGATAAGTTAAGTTGATTTCAGGAACACGGGGGTCTGGGGTCAATGCCCCTGGTGGGGTTCCAAGGGGCAGAGCTCCTGGCGGTGATCCCACTGGCCGGTCAGCGGGCGGGGTCAGGGGGGCCGCCCTTGCGGGGTGTGGGGCAGCGCCAATCCATATGTAAGAAACGCATTCGGTGGTTGTTTTCCAGCCAAACACCCGAACAGTCGCGTCTGTTGGGAACAGACACGACTTCCCGCCAAAATTAACCGACTTAACCGTCGGTGGCTATATAAGGCTTCATTCGATGATTGTAGATCATCTTCTTCGTGCATACTGATATTCTGCCCGATTTTTGTCCCCGGTTTTTGTCTCTAAAGCAACATAAACAAGCAAGGTATTTTGTGTTTGTGATCTTGGATTTTGACTGCAATCCAGATTTGTTGTTCTTGGATTATCCCAATTTTGGTTTCGTGATACCTAGGCAATAGGGTTGAAATCACAAATTTTGGGAAGTGTTTTATATGTGATCCTTGAATTATCCAAATAATTTTGATATTTGTTTCCAAAATCTAACATGTGGTTCCTATAACATTAAAAATAACATTACTTTCAATTCTCATCTCAATTTCTATTACAAGATTATAAACTTAACCACTTAAGTCAAACATAAAGATTACTCGATACATATTCCTAATCCAAGCTTAATCTTCAAATTTCTCAAAATATTTAACTTGCAAGATGAAATGAACTCATAATCATCTTCCATAGACGATTCATGCTAATACCAATATTTCAACAAAGTGATCGTTCTACTTGATTTGTACATGCAAGCTTTAAATCCATGCTCAATATGATTATTCTATACCATCATTAACATTACCACAAAAGGTTGCTTGAATCCTTCAAAACCTCACTTGGATTTTAGCTAACGATTCTGATTTTTCATTTTCCAGAAATTTGACTACACTAGGTTGACTATCTGGTTTCTTCAAATTTCTTAACATACAAATGAGATTTCAACTTCCAACAATATCTGTCACTGATATGTTGCATGCATAGGTCAATCTCATCTTTAAGGAACTAGTTATCCTTTGACTTTCAACAATCTTTCTGTCAACTTCTTACTTCATGATAAAACTCGCATAAACAAACTCATGCAAGCTGAAATCAACACTTAAATGATACCTCAACACAACTACTAACATGCCTACAAGATTTGCTTGAGATCTAACTAAATCCTAACTTGATTTAGCTTAAATCCAGCAAAATTCTTGCAAATTTTGAATTTAATGCTAAACTCATTTGATCAAACCATAGCAATCTAATTTGGTACATACTAACAAGAGATTTTTCATCAAATGTAACATGCATTTGAAGATTAAATCCACCAATTAACTGACTTAACATTTTATACCAAAAACTCTACTAATGTGGGTCCACTCTTTAGAATCATGTTCAACCCGTATGCAACCAAGTGCCCAAATTTCCATCAAGTACAAGAGCTACCACATCTCTGTCAGGACCATCATTATTTTAAAGAAGTACTAAAGAGAAACATAAATCTTATCTTAAGTCTTCAAAATTCCTCATCTTTTATTAATAAAAATGTCCTCCTTATCTTCTTCTCTTTGCAGCCAACATCAAAAGCACCCAACTCTCCCTTATCCTTGGAAAAATATCACTATATGCTCCTCAACTAATATTCATGGTCTACTGCTTGAAGAAGTATCATTTCTTCGAAGGCCCTTTGTTGTATTAGGAGATTCAACAGTTACCAAACGGGTAGGTAGTCATTTTGATACCAAAACAGTTACCAAATAACTACCATCAGGTAAGATTAAAATACAGTTGCTTCAGATAATATCAGAAGGTATATATGTATGTATGTGTCTTTATATGTCTTTCTATCATATGTATGTATCACTAGGCCACTTGTGGTTAGCAGCTATCAAGAACTCAGGTTTGACTCCCATCCAGTGCTGTCAACTCCTTGGGGACATGTGTGGGGGCTAGAAGGTCTTAGTGTAGCTGGGCCAATACTAGCTTGGATTGGAGGCCTATGTGATTTGACCCCGATACCACATCTATAGATAAGTCTTTCTATATATATGTATGCATGCCTATGCATATTTGCATGTCTCTCTCTCTCTATATATATATATATATATACATGTGTGTGTATGTATGTGTATCCAGCAGCAAAATCGCTTAGTTTTGTCCTAGTAGTTTGATAGCATATAAATCGATTTGAGCATAGGTAAGATAATGCGGAAAGAGGAAAGAAAGAATTATGGCAAACCACACCTGATTGATATATATATATATATATATATAGTTTAAAAATGCCGAACGCATATATATATATATATATATATATATATATATAGTTCAAAAATGCCGAATGCATGCTTCCTGAAATGCATCATACCTGATACACACGTATTCTTATACTTCCTGGTAAATAAGTTAAAATTATCCATTTATTATTTGATATATGCACATGAGTTTTACATATATGCATGTATAAAATGTTCATGTAACAGTTGCAATCCTTCCCTACTGATTGCTTTAGCAAATGCTCGAACTCGTCTTTTAAAGTTTAAGCACCTACCAGGAATATCCCGACATTGGGTCAAACCAGTACTGTTTATGCCATTGATCTTCTTGGTTTTGGTGCTTCTGATAAGCCCGTTGGTTTTGAATATACCATGGAAGCATGGGCACAGGTATACTTTTGATTGATTCAAGTTACGTTATTGTGCTATGCATTTCCACCTGCCTTCAAATTTACAAATCTAATGATAACAGTTGATATTGGATTTTGTGGAAGAAATTGTCCAAAAGCCTACAGTGCTGATAGGGAACTCAGTTGGAAGTCTTGCATGTGTTATTGCTGCTGCAGGTTGGTCTTATGCACTTATTTACATTTACACGGGGCCTATATTCAGCTATAGTACTCCATCTGTTTCAAAACAGAATTTTGCATCTTTTACTCCATATTTCAAATGTAGTTCTTCCCAATATTTTTAAAGATACACTTAGAACAGAAGTTTAAGATCGTCAAATTGGTTTCAGGCGTAGGTTAAAGGTTTTCTCTTCAAAAAAGCCTGGGTTTGAATCCTGCTCTTGGAAAAATTCTCGATTTTTAGGTTAAAATATTGGGTTTCTATTAGAAATTTCTTTTTACAGCCTAGGACTCAAACCAATGATCCTTCTTGACAAACACAAGCAACAGGCCAACTAATCTATTATGATTTTGTGAAATATTTCTATAATTTTCATCCGTATGAAAAAATTTCTGGGTTTGCATCTATTTTTTCTTTCATTGTTGCTGTTTTCATGTTTTCTGTTTCTGGGGGTGAAACTGTTAATAACATATCTTTCCACTTTAATGTGATTTTGACAACTAGATGCTCGGCAGTCACTGGTTGAAGGGCTTGTTTTGTTGAACTGCGCTGGTGGCATGAACAATAAGGCAATAGTTGATGATTGGCGAATTAAGCTTTTATATCCTTTGTTATTGTTGATTGATTTCTTGTTGAAGCAAAAAGTAATCGCATCATTCATCTTTGAACGGGCCAGGCAAAGGTTCTCTATTTTTGCTTCACACATATATTAGGGATAGGGATTTGGAATCGTCCTCCTTTTAACTTGTATTATTGTGCAGAGAGAATCTTAGAAACATATTATTATCAGTTTATGGAAACAAGGACTCCGTGGATGAAGATCTCGTACAGGTATTATTCATTTATTGCTTGTTTGGACAACTAGAGTGCATGAGAATACAAACTCGATGTGACATCTGTTTTCTTGGTATGAATTTTTGTTCCCTTGAATGGAAGAAAGCAAAGTCTTGGTGATAGCTAAGATTAGAAATCCACTTGTTTCCTATACGCTGTACATATATCCATATATGTGTGTGGGGTCAGATAAAGGGGAAAACCACAAAAAAAATGTTACAAAGGAAAGCGTTTTTTGGTATCTTTTTCCTAGCTGTCAGTATTAATTCCATATCAATCAAGATAGGAAAGTATTGATTGTCTAGGCTGTGTTTCCTAATTCTGTGATTGATAGCTGTAACTTTCATATATATATTTCATAGCTTTTAATACAGAAATGAATTACATCCTTGAATCATATTCTCCATATTTCACTACTGTGATTATATCGTATCAGAGAAGGAATAGTTCATGGCTCTTCTCTTCTTCATGCTACACTTTATTCATCTCGTGTAGTCTTTTTAAAACCTTCCAGCCTTCATGGCCAATGATGATAAACAACCAAACCCCGATTCATCCAAATCAGAAGTCAACTCTATTTCTGATCCATATTTCACTCTTTCATTCTGATCATCCCGGTTTGATTCTAGTTTCCAAAGCCTTGAATGGTGATAATTACATGGCTTGGAAAAGGGCTATGACCTTAGCCCTTGAATTCAAAGAACAAGCTAGGACTTGTTGATGGTTTTATTGAAGCTCCGGTCAAGGAAGTGGATCCGAAGGCCTATGCAACATGGTGAAGATGCAGTGACATGGTCCATTCTTGGATCTTTAACACTGTAAGTCAAGAAATTGCTAATAACATCATTTACTATTCTACAGCTTCTGAAGTTTGGGAAGATCTCGCTGAGAGGTTTTCACAAGGTAATGCACCTCGGGTTATTGAGATTCAAAGCGATATTGTGTCATTACACTAAGAGCAGATGTCAATCTCAGCCTACTATACTAAGTTGAAAGGTTTATGGGATGAACTAGCCTTTTATTCTACTATGGTACCAGATCAACAGCAGCTGATGCAGTTCTTAATGGGTTTGAACGAGACGTTCAATGCAATTAGAGAGCAGATGCTGTTGATGAGTCCTTTGCCTACTGTGTGGAAGGCATATGGCACCATCTCTCAAGAGGAAAAGCAACGTTCTATCATTGTTCATAACCCAGCGAGATTGGAGGAGCTTCATTCATGGCCGTACAACATACTTTCAGCAGAACAAATTCGAGAGGTGTTAGGTCATATTAGAGTGAATGTACTTAAGTGTAATTGGTAGAATGTAGAGGGCACTCCTATGTAACTAGTATCTCTATATATAGAGACCCATCGTAATTAGGTTACATATCAAATCAATACACAAACAAATCACCGCTCGAACATCTCTTCAAACGATCTCCAATTACTCCTTCCTTCGGGTCTTCGGTTGTCAATGCTTTCCTCACCTTCGACCATACAACCATCACAAAATTGACTTTCGGTCGACCCCTTGCGTTTTTCTTGGCTATAGTCCTTTCCATCATGGCTATCGTTGCCTTGACCTGTCGACCGAGCGTTTATGGATTTGCTCGTCATGTTCGCTTCATTGAAGACCACTTCCCCTTTGCTATTCCTACTGTCGCCACTTCCTCACCTACATCATCATGTCCCTACACTTGCTCGATATCACCTCACGTGGTAACCAACAACACTCCACCTACCGCTCCATCTCCTGTAATAGCTGATCCGCCCAGTTCACCACATACTTTCTTGCCGATCTCTCGGTCTCTCCTGAACCCACTACCTCTTTACACAATGATGCAAATACCAGTAGTTCATCTCCATTATCATCCACTTCCTCCTCTCCATCACCACCACCGCCTCCGCCTCCGCCTCCTCCTACTCCTAGACAACGTCATTCTAACCTCCGGCCCAACCCCAAACAACGGGTTTCCTTCAATCCCTCAGCTAATCTTACCACCTCCTAGACTACACCTATTGAACCAATCTCTTTTACCATTGCCAACAAATCTTCTGAGTGGCGTCAAGCTATAGACGAGGAGTACTCCGCTCTTGTTAAAAACGGCACGTGCTCTCTAGTTCCTCGTGCTCATGATACTAATGTTGTTAATTGTAAGTGGGTTTACAGGATAAAATGGGACAAGACAGGTGCCATCACTCGTTACAATGCTAGACTCGTCACAAAAGGTTTTCGGCAACATGGCATTGGTTTTCATGAAACCTTCAGTCCTGTTGTCAAGACCACTACCATCAGGGTTGTTTTATCGCTTGCGGTTTCTCAGAAATGGTCGCTCAGACCACTTGATGTTCAAAATGCTTTTCTTCATGGCCACCTTACTGAAATAGTCTATATAAGATTCTAGGCTTTATTGACCCACAACGATCAGATCATGTTTGTCTACTCCACAAGTCCATTTACGACCTCAAGCAGGCCCACGGGCTTGGTTTCACCGCCTTTCAAATGCTCTTCATACCCTTGGCTTTGTAGGCTCCAAGACTGGCCCTTCACTGTTTATTTCCAGTCATGCCGGCACTCTTTTATACATCTTAGTGTATGTTGACGACATCATCATCATGGGAAGCAATAATGTTGCTATCGACGCCATCGGTCAACAACTGGGATTAGCTTTTGCGATAAAGGATCTAGGCCCTCTAAACTACTTCTTGGGTATTGAGATCGTCCCTCAAGGACCAGACATCGTCCTTTCTCAAAAGAGGTACATTTTGGAGCTCTTACAACGAGTAGGCCTCTCAGGCTCTAAGCCCATGCCTTCCCCCATGACCTCGTTCTATTCGCTATTTTAGCTGACAGTCCTGCTTTTTCTGACCCAGTTATATACAGACAGGTCGTTGGTGCTCTTCAATATGTTCCTCTTTCTCAGCCAGATGTCGTTTTTGCAATTAATAAAGTGTGGTCAGTTCATGCATGCCCCTACTGAATCACATTGGTCTGCATCAAACAGATTCTACACTATCTTCGAGGCACTGTTGACTGTGGCTTACTCATTCGTCAGGCATCTACTTTATCTCTCCAAGCCTTCTCCGATGCTGATCAGTCTTTCCAAGCCTTTTCCTATGCTGATTGGGTTGGGTGTCTAGATGATCGTCAGTCCACGAAGGGATTTGCCATCTATTTGGCTTCTAACCTTGTATATTGGACCGCTCGCAAACAACACACTGTTTCTCTCGATCCTCTACTGAGTCGGAATACAAAAGCTGAACTTAACTGGCTTCAAGCTCTCCTTTGTGAGCTTGGCGTTCGTGCCCCATCAGCTCCTATCCTGTGTGGTGTGACAATCTAGGTGCAAGCTATCTATCAGCCAACCCGGTCTTTCATGCACGAACAAAGCATGTGGAAGTTGATTTTCATTTTGTCAGAGAAAAGGTTGCTCAAGGATACCTTCGTGTACAATTCATATCCACAAGAGAGCAGATTGCTGATATTTTCACGAAGCCGTTGCCTACTCCTAGATTTCTATTCTTACGATCCAAGCTACACAGTCATTACCTGTTCTTAGCTTGTGGGGGTGTATTAGATTGAATGTACTTAAGTGTAATTAGTATAATGTAGAGGGCATCCCTATGTAATTAGTATCTCTATATATAGAGACTGATTGTAATTAGGTTACATATCAAATCAATGCACAAAACCCTTGTGGTTTATCTGGTCACAGCAAGAACGTCACCGGTCACAACAAGAACGACATAATGGATCAGAGAGAGGGCAACCAATTTGTACCCATTGCAATGAGAAAACGCATTGGGTGAACCTGCTCGAAATTGATTGGTTACCCTTGGTCACCCAAAGGCAAAACAACACTTACAAAGGCAGTGACAAGGGAATGGATCCAATTCAAACAATACTAAAAATTTCAGAGTTGCTGCTAATTCGGTGGAGTTTTAGATGGTGAGAGTGGACCTAACGTTACTATGACAGAGGCTCAATTTAGTAAATTCATGGCTACTGTTGAAAAGGCTAACCGGAATCGAGCTTCTACTGCTAAGGCCAATATGGTAACAAAACCGGCTCAACCAGGTTTGTTTCGTATTAATTTCGCAATTGGTGATCATTGATAGTGGTGCAACAGACCGCATTACTTCATCTCAATTGTTAAATAAATCGAAACATGGTGCATCCATTTTATTACTTAACGGGGAGTAGATCAAGATCGATGCAAAGGGGTCCTCACCATTGAATATGGCCTATCATCTTCATGATGTCTTATATGTGCCTCATTTTAAAGTTGATTTGATGTTTGTTAGCCGTTTGACAAGGGACTTAAATTGCTCAATAGCATTCTTTCCTTATTGGTGTATTTTGCAGGATCTGGTTACAAGGAAGACGATTGGTTTGGGTAAAGAACGAAATGGATTATATTATTTGGTGGCTTTAGCGTCAAGTAAACCTACCCTACCATTACCTAGACCACATCAACTTCACCAATCCGCATGTAACCTTGCTCTTACCACATGTAACCTAGCCATTTCATCTGCCGATTTGTGGCATTATAGATTGGATCATGTTTCCCCTCCTTGTTTACATTTTATTTCTCAAAGTTTCTTAAAATTTTCAATTGAATCGAATAAAGTGTCATGTGTGTCCTTTGGTGAAACAAAGTCGTCTTCCCTTTGGTACTAGTACCATTTCATCAACTTAACCGTTTGAACTTATTCGTTGTAATATATGGGGTCACTATCGACACCCTTCTCTTGACGGTGCACATTACTTTCTTACTATTGTAGATGATGTTTCCGTTTTACTTGGATTTTTCTAATGCGGCATAAAGATGAAACACAACAACTCATCAAGCAATTCTTCACTTACGTTCTCACACAATTTGACTCTGACATCAAAACCTTTAGAAGTTCATCTCACTACGTTCTTATTTTCAAGATAATGGAGTTATCTTTCAAACCTCATGCGTTTACACTCCCCAACAAAACAGAGTTGTTGAATGCAAACACCGTTACA